GAAATCGGTGCGTGCATGTAGCAGTTTTCGATAACAGCGGGACACGGACGGGCGATTGTCGAGCGTTGACATTAAGGGGCTACTCCATGCGAACGGCCTTGAGCATTTGACCGGCGCGCCGCTCGCTACAATATAACGTAGTATTATTTTTTCAACATCAATAAACTATTTTATGGAAATACACACAGCGCACAAAGATAAATGTATTTTAATTTTTTTATTCGGTATATATTAGTTGCATTATATTAGAATTATCTATTTTCATATATTATCTAATTATGAAATTTTATAATTAATTATATATTAAAAATGAAGCATTGAAAATTGTGAGTTTAAGAGATACCTATTCACTATAGGTAAATAAATAGATAGCTCGGCTTTTGTACAAATATTTGGTGCAATAAAAAATAAATAGGATGTTTTGCAGATGTGTTTTTGATTATTGTTAATTTTTACGTGTCACGTATTGAAAAGTAATATACCTACCTAATAATTTTTTAACTGAGCACCTTGTAATTTAGCCTGCTTATTATTTATGCTGGCAGACATTATCCTCACCCCAATGATTGATGAGGATGAAAATCAATTTTATTTCTACATACGTAATTATATTTATTTATACATAAGGGTAACTTTAATAAAGGTAATACAAAAATCAACAAGAAGTATAAGGGTTCAATCTTTCAATTGTAAAAAAACGTTATACGTAACGTTATAACATAACGTAACGTATGTAACGTTAACGATGCCAAGAAAAACAGTGAATTCAACAGGGCTCAGTTCTTCCCCATTTAAAAACACATTGGTACTCAGATTTTTAACATTCGTTGTTGTAAATTTAATACATTTAGTTTTATTTCCGTTTAAATGTAGATTATTAACGTTAAATCAATGCACTAATTTTGATATAGCATTATTCACTTCGTCACATTTCAATGATTGTCGTTTAAGTTTAAAAATCAAGGAAGTATCATCAGCAAATAATACTATATCATGATTATCCTCTACAAGAGAAGGTAAGTCATTAATATACACTAGAAATAGGAATGGGCTGAGAATCGAGCCCTGAGGGACACCCATTAGTACAGGTGAGCCGGAAGAACTTTTACCATTTATTTATTTTATTTTATTTTTGACGTTACACCCACACTAGGATTTTCTCCTGTATCTTGGAGGCAGTTTACAAACATAAATTGCACAAGGACAAACATCCAGACCCGGAACAATTATTTGTAGGCCATACAAATACTTGTTCCGTGCGGGATTCGAACCCGCGGCCCCCAGCGCTACAACTGATTGCATAGCCACTGCGCCACGGTGCCGTCACCGGGTTATAGCTAAAGTGACCATACGTCCCGTTTTGAACGAGACTGTTCCTTTTCTCGGTCACCTGTCCCATTGTCCCCAAACAAAGCTCCGGGACACAAAATTGTCCCGTAACTCATTGGATGGAAGTATTCAAAGTCAACAATCTTCAACATAATTTTTTTTATTCGAATATATTTTATGTCTACCTGATACGAATGCTCCGGTAGAAAGAGTATTTTTTTTATTTTGAATAAATTGTGGACGTCTGAAAGAAACACTTACGGTTCCAGAGTTCTAAAGGCGATGTTGTTAACAAAGATAACAATAAAAAAACTTGAGCAGAATTTTATTTTTATTTAAAATCATCACCAACTTTATAAAAGAAAATTTAATCCACTGACAAATGTATGTAATAATTAAAAAAATATATGTTGCATTTAATAATTACCGTCTATACCGAATATAATTTTACAGTGAACACTAATTGTATAAAGTTATAGTTTTTAGAGTATAAATAAACCCATGTCCTGTTTTGAGTTAAAAAATAAATGGTCAGTTTAGTCTTTTTAGTTAAATTTAGTTTTAAAAATTTTTAGATAGTAAAAAGTAGGTATATTAGAACCTACTTAGATACTTTTTACCGAATTATAAGTATAGAACACCTTATGTACTCAATTATTTTTTGAAAAAGAAGAAAAAACAAGCAATAAATAATATACTATATTTTAGCAAAAAACTATAACTTAGTAATACTAATTATAACTTAGAACATAAATGAAAAACTCATAACTGACTTTTTGGCCCGACCCAGGATTCGAACTCGGGACCTCATGATCAGCAGTCGCACTACTACAACCACTAGATCAACGAGGCAGTACTATATCTAATAAGTTGTGGTTGGGTGATAATATTTAATTAGCCTTTTATAGTGTAAATTATAATATTTGTCGAAATTTTAATTATGGATTTGAACCTTACATGCTAATGGTGCTTAATTTTTTTATTTGCATTTACTTCAAAGAAAATACACGCAAAAAGCTTCATCGCGCAGTAAAAAACACAACAAATATATGTATAAGTAATACGAAAAATTATACCCAAAACAAACAAATAATACTACCTATAAATAACCTAATAAGTAATAATATTATAATATTATGCGCGTGTGCGCTGGCAGACGCTCTAACGACACGGGTTCCACGTGTAAGAGCTCAGGGCTCACTGACTCTAGCAAGCCCGTGGGCAGTAAATACGCCCAGATTTTAAAATAATTTCTTAATAAAATCAAATTTTGGACTTTTGAAAAAAATTTTACTATAGAAATGTTCATTAATAAATTGCCTATCCATTGGTGTAAATCGCAAAATAAAATAATACTTACTTTACGAGGAGATTCATGTTATCAATAATAATTTAACATTTATGTGGTTTCGTTGTAAGGAGATTATATTAATATTTAATCCTTTAAAAAAAATTGGATATAGCTTTTATGGAATCAAGATTATGTAGAAATATAATGTGTTTTTTATTTGTTGATATATCTTTTAAATAAAAAGTAGATAGCTCCTAAAAACCGCACAAATAACGACTAGCGCGACATTTTGCTCAACCTGCGCCTTAACCCTTTCGCTGTCCCGTGCACTACATATAGGTCATTGCTATTGTTTTACTATTGTGTCTGCGAACCGGACAGTGAAAGTGTTAAACTGAAGCGGTCGTAAAGTTAAATGACCACGTAGTAGAGCTAGCCTGCACGTTCCGGTTTATAAAAAGTACTCTGTACCTGCACGCTTCTATAATGATTGCAACATCAAATGGTCGATACAACCGGGAAAGGATCTGGCTCACACAGAATACCAGCGTAAAATAGCAGCATTTTTCTGCCATGTTTTCTAAGGTGAAAGACGATAGCCGGAGATTCCTTTTACTGGTAACGAAGCAATCCATTTAGCCTCTGAGGCGTCAACATATTAGCATTTTGATTCTTAATCGAGGATAAGTCTATAGACCAGATTATCCACTAGTGAAATTTGTGCTTGTCTGTCACTTTTCTATAAAGAAATTTGCATTCTTCTAATGTCATTGGTAGTATAAATATTCCTATTATCTTTAATAGTTAATATGGCCACTATATCTCGATTTTATATAATTTTTTATTTTCTTTTATTATTGTTTATTTTATTATTTTAACAGACCTATATCAACTTGTATTAACTGCTATTATATTAATACAAGTTACTGATATTACGTCTAAGACGTAACTGATATTACGTCTCGCGTATGAGGGATGGTTGTGCTGGCTACTAGCCAGTCGTCTTAAGGGACTGTCCTTAAGATATTTCAATTCCATAAAAGAACATCTAAATCCGGCATCTAAATCCACCAGAGATGGGATGATTTCTTATGTCGTAGAATCTTGATTCCGATGGTGATATCACTACTTAAAATAAGTTGACCCTTCCCCCCTCTACCGTAGAGGGAATCCGATCCACTAAGACAAATACACACACATAAATTTCTACATAGTACATATACGAGTACATTTATCACTAGGGCACGTTCACGAGGTCACAGAGACACGCCGTACACGAGGTTCAGTATCCCTGATACGAGGCGTTTTTAGATTAAGACCCGTTTCCGTTTTCCCATCGAGCCCCTTTTAGCTTGAGGAGACTCTCCAAAAGCAAGGGCTGGAGTGCTCCGGGATTGTAATTCAATTGCAGAATCGGTATACGCAATAGCTCTGTAAGTTATCGCTAACGAGTCTATTTAGATGAAGTTGTTAAAAGGTCGCAGGGTCTACAATATACACTGTCAAAAAAAAGGGATGGTTGTACAGCCATTGGAAGCCTTGGATTCTCTCTGGCATTTCCTATACTTACATCTCAATGGTTAAGCGGGATTGTGTTCTTAATTGCACATATATTATGTATTAGATTATATTTATGCATTTATAAATACTTTTATTGTATATTATTAGATATATTATTAATTTATAAATATTTATTATATTTTAGTGAGTATGTACTTATATTGTATATTTTATTGCACTTTTGCATCTGTAGGCTTATTTTTTTACTTTAGTTTTATTTGGTTGCTAAGAAGAGATTTCTCTACCTTTATATTTTGTGATGTAAAATAAAAGAATATTCATTCATTTATTAATTCATTTGATGTGATCCTTCGTCATTCGATTTTTGCACTGTTGGGTTTTTATTGTCATCACACAAATCCTATAGTATATTATTATAAAGACCTGTTTTACAATATCAAGGAAATTAGATATGTACTTGCATTGCAAATTACTCGTTTCTGATTTTATTATAACGACGGACTTAATGCTACAAGGCAATTCTTACCAGTCTTGTAAAGAATATAATATAAAATTATAATATAAATTTAGAATTATTTGAATTATACATAATAAAAAAAAAACAAGAGGACGCTCTGCTAATATTTTATCTTTAACATAAAGCGAAACGAAGTGCTATAATCATTACATAGTATTTATAAAGCGATAATATAATCATTAGTTAATTGTGAATATTATTTAATGACTGTTTATAAAGTAACTATCATGATTAGTTTTAATCTCTCAGGCGAATGAACAGCTGTGCAAAGAAGTAACACGAATGGAAGTGCGAAAATAAAATATAATTGCAAAACTAACTAAATCTGATAAACTGAACAAAATGTTGAGAAACCTTAAAACAGTGAACAGAACTTTAAGTGTAATAGAAAAATCTTTGAAATGCGGTAGTGCGTGTGCAAGAAATCTCAACGCATGGACACAAGATAGAATCATTAAGTCACCGTATGCAAACATTGAAATACCGAACTGCACTTTATATGATTACGTGTGGCAGAATCTGGACAAATGGCCTGAGAGGACTGCATCTGTAAGTGAACCTTATATTTAAGTATACAATATATACAATAGATATATATATATATACAGACCTGGTAAGAAATGAAGGAAGCCGATGGTGTATTTAACTATGAACCGTGTTTTGTGGTAAGTATTCCTTGGGAAATGCCTTTCTTCATACTTGTGAAGGATGGGATATCTACGTACTCATATAAATTTGACGTTGCATATGGTGACGTTTTCCTTTAACCATTGTCTTCACTATACTATCGGAATATGTCAGTTTAAATATTCAATAGAATCCGCCAGAAACATTCAATATAAAGTAAGTAGGATCAGATGCAGGGCCGGAGACAGGGACAATACCAACTCAATTAATTTCGTAAATTATGTTTTTGAAGAAATGTTGGCGCCAGTTTAGATTCCAGCCGGTTTGTTTCAGTAGTGATCGTAAATCAGGCGATCGTTTTAGTTCACGAGCATATGTGCAAATAGTTCAATTGTTCCATTTTTGTTTCTACTACAGCATTTGTTTTCCAGGTATGTGCAACAACTGGCAGAGGTTACACCTATGAGCAAGCTTTTAAACTATCAAACACTTTTGCTGCTAATCTTCGTACAAAATTAAAGTTGAAAGATGGAGACATTGTCGCTGTTATGCTGCCTAATATTCCTGATTTCCCTTTAGTGGCTTTGGGTATAATGGAAGCGGGAGGAGTTGTCAGCACCATTAATCCTGTTTATACCGCACGTAAGCTAAGATTTCGTATAATATACGTGTTTTACAAATATAAAATACACGTATTATTGATAACAGAAAAGAAATGAATAAAGAAACATCTTTACTTGACAATACATAAAACATAATTTTGCGGAATGTACATATTACATCATCATTATTGTAGCATCAAATAGGCATACGACTCAGCATTATGCTGCAGTGTAAAAATTACAGCACTGATATTCTGCCGGTGCCCTTTTCAAAAAAATCTTTTTATAAAATTTTTTGTCAGTGAGACATGTAAAAATGAGAATATAAATAATAATATAAAAAAAAGGAAAAATTTGGTGAAAAGGAAAAAATGATTGGGTATTATGAATTCCTTTCTTCCTCTCTATCTTCAGTTCATAAACATTCTACAATTAAACATGTCCCTCTCTGATAATTGGATGGATTTGCTGTAGTAGCTAGGCTTGATAGGTGGATAAGCGACACTACTGCCAGACGTCATTGATGGATTCGCTAATGTGGCCATAGAACGTTAAAATTAAAATTCAAAATAATTCGAAGGAATTAGACAACTTATATACAAAATTAATAAAAAAAGATTTTTCTCGTTCATTCAATGAATAGTTTCTAAATCTCATTGTATTTATTCTGGTACTATTATGACTTAACTAATTGGACTGCAACGACATATTAACTCTTATATACTAAGATATAGACTTAATGGTCTATCTATGTATCCTCCATACATGAACGTATCTTTTTCTTTTCCTTGTAATTATTTAAAAAAAATTGAAAGAAGGAAATTAGTCTATTTGACTTAGTTTGTTCAACTTATATTGAAACGTATCAGTGTACGCACTGCGTATACTGATATGTTCCATGCTGGTGGTACCTAATCATATGGATACCGAAAAAACTCCTGTATTACCATCTAGTGACAGATTACCATATTTTTGGTAATGATCACACCATGATCTTATTTTTGCATGAGTTAAAAACGTTTTATGTATACTAAACTATATAATTTCAGATGAGGTGCACCTTCAACTCGTGGTTTGCGATGTTAAATTGGTCGTTACACTAACTGAAACAGTCAGTGTTGTTAAAGAAGCTTTAAAATTAGCTAAGTTAAATATTCCTATAATAGCTGTCAGGACCGAAGGCAAGACAGTTCCCAAAGGAACAATTTTATTCAACGAACTAACTGAGGATGTACATGTTGACAAATCATGCTTAAAACAAGTGAGGAGAAGTATTAACGATATCTGCTTTCTTCCTTATTCAAGTGGTACTACAGGGTTACCTAAAGGTGTAGAGCTTTCTAGTAGAAACATTATTGCGAACTGTGAACAAATCAATGAACCACTTATAAGAACCCATAATGAGACAACAGGTAAGGACATCTATTAAACCCAGCCATATAAAATTCTTTAAAATTTAATTTTAGTAAAATAATTAAAAACTTATTTGCTTTACTGGCGTTAAGAAATTTTTCCTTGCCATTTTATTTCTAAATATCATCTTTCCGCTGGGCACCACGTAGTGCCCATTATCAATCATTTAGATGATGGCAATCTTCATAATATTTGTGAATTGATAAATCATGTTTTACGAGTGTCTTACTCGTAAGACATGACCATTTCAGTTGCGGAGCGGATTTAAATATGTTATCGTCACTTTTGGTGGGTGAATTGCCAATCACAGCGTTAGTCATTTTTTACCGTTAGCATTGCTCCATCGCCGGTCTGGGTACCATTTACAATTATATTATATTGTTTATTTAAACAGAAATGAAAATATATACAAGATCAAAAGCCAACTTCAAAGAATCCATAAAAAACCCGCGTGAAAGACCGTATCGCTGATGTGCATCACTGACGCTCAGGGAAGTCTGCAGTATGTCAACATATTCAGGATCGTCCTAACCATTATATCAGATTTGATAGACCTAGAAATTGAATATATTTACGCGAGCGCGCATGCTCCGTTGCCATATAAGCAGTGTTGCCGATTTGGCATTTTTAATGCTAAATTTGGCATATTTTTAAATCTGTTGGCATGAAAAAATTGGCTTTAGCATGTTGCATATTTAAGCATCTTTCGAATTTTACCTACTAATGATGTTAACTCTTTTTATGGGATAGACAAATTGTTCACAATCACTGCCATATCTATTATATATTATTCTGTACAAAAGATTGAATTAAACCCATAGACAAAAAAATTAAAATTGTTACTATGATTGATTATTATGGCAACTCTGTTATGAATTGGGGAATTTCCCGAATAGTGAAAGATTTTGTTTAGTATTCCGAGTAAGCAACGACCGAGACCCGACTAAACTGCTGAATGATTTGGTTGAACTGGTTGAATCAGTCGCCAGAAGAATCATATTGCCAACAGCGCAAATTGATGTGTTAACAGCTACAAATCTTGAAAGCTATCTAGACCCATCTCCATACATGGGCTATGGTTTCGAACTAAAGCTGACTGAATATGAACTTTTACCTGAAGCCGAACGTAATCTGCGGCACCGCTGTAAGCAGTTTACACTTAAACTTATACAAGAAATGCGATCAAGGTTGCCAACAAATATAACAATACTACGAACAATGAGTATGCTTTCTGTACAAGAAACTTTAAAAGCTATAAAACCACCGATAATAAAACTAGCACAAGAGTTCGGCTGCCAGGCCAATGAAATAGAACGTATAGTTGTACAGTGGAGGAATATTCGACATACCGACTGGGAAAATAAGTGTTCAACTGTCGAATTTTGGTCGGAGGTTTATGGATACAAAGACTCGGCGGATAATAATCCATTTTCGGAGTTAGCTTCTTTGGCCATATCTATTCTTTCTTTGCCACACTCGAATGCTGAGATAGAACGAGTATTCAGCCAAATGAATATAGTAAAAACAAAGTTAAGAAATCGTATGTCACTACATACACTGAACTCGATCCTACACATCAGATATGGCCTTAAAAGATCAGGAAAATGTTGTCATTCCTATAACGTTCCCGAAAATGTTTTAAAACAGATTAGAGGGATTAAAGAGTCGCTTGTAATGCCAATGACTATTGCTATTGAAGATGGCCCTTCAACATCACAAGCACAAGCACACGACGAAGCTGATATTGATGATCTACAAATATTATTTGATTTATATTTATGATTAAAATTACTTTAAAATGGCACTGCATTTTTAGTTACACTACCTACTTGCAATTTATTTTTATTTCTTATTCATTTAAACAAGACTTAGCAGCTGGCATTTTTTTTGGCATATTCAAGTGTGATTTAGCATTTTTTTAGCATTATCGCCGCCAAAGTCTAGCATTTTTTTCATTTATAAAACGGCAACACTGCATATAAGCTCTGTCACAGTCCGTTTTCGGACATCGTCGAGGGTGGACTGCACGTCGGTGTTGGAGCGACTTCGTTCAAATATATATTAGTTTTTTAAAAGTTTATACTCAATTATAAATATTTTTATGACTAGCAATACTTAATTTAGTTAATATCTGTACACTGGTAACTGTAAATATTATTTTCTAAATAAATGAATTTTTAATGTGCCCAAAGAAGAAGAAATTTTCGCGCCGACGTTGATTAGTGAAACTAAAAAATGCATTTTTATATAATTTAGATGTGGAACGACGAACATGCTCTCGTTACTTAGATTACGATAGTTTTTAATACCTATGTAATTTTATTGTTGCATATTTTTATTAATTAGTTGATACTGAATTTTATAATTATGTATTACAATAAAACGCTGTTTTTATGATTATGACTTATAAAATATTATTGGGGAGGGAAATAAAGATACAGATACTTACATTTAGGTACACTGTTATCAACTTAAATCAAACAATTTAAATAAATAATAAAAATGGTGCTTCCCTAAGTATAAATAACTATATAAAGACATTCTTGGGTTTATGGTTTCTTTTTTTATGTTACACAAACTATCATCTAAAAAATGTAAAAAATTTTAATTAGAGAGGGGTTTCTCTACGTGATAAAGTTAGAAATGAAGATATTTGCATTAGAACCAGAGTAACTGCCATAGCCCAACGGAATATTACAGTGAAATGGCAATGGACTGGCTATATAACTTGGAAAACAGATTAAAAAATAGGAAGAAAGGTCCTCGAGTGGCAACCTCGTACAGGTAAGCGAAGTAGTACTCAACCTTTATTCCTCTTCACGTATTCTCATACGCTTTTCTTCACACATACATACACACACACACACACACACACACACAAACACACACACACACACATACGCACGCATGCACGCACACACACACACACACAAATAGAACGCAAATAATACTTACCTAGTACTGGTAGGCAAGAGTGAATAGGTTTTTGATAAGTCAGTGCACTTCACCATCTTAGACTACATAACCACTTACCGATGGAATTGTAGTTGCTTTACTACTAGCTGGGTAAAAATAGTAAAAAAAAATTTACCCTGTGAAAGTTTGCATTTAGATATAATTTTTCTAACCAACCATAAAAATATGATGAGAATATGTATATAAGTATAAAGGTTGCCTCACACGGGACAGTAATAATATAATATTATATCTTCCATTATCTACGCATGAAAACTTTTAAAATCTCTGAATCCCGAGGTATGTTCATATTAAGAGGCTGAATAGAGCCACATTGCAATGCATGGGGATCGTTTTGTAATTTCACGTCATTATCCAAAAAAAATTGTATTTCAGGTGTCAGTTTGCAAAACACGATTCCACAAAAATTAATTCAATAGAAAATAATTGCAAACTTGCTTCTAAAAATACTTAAATTTTCAACGTCAATTTTTTCATACGTAGTAGAGCCATGCTGCAGCTATATTAGTAGTAGGTATAGTTGTAGCACGAATGGGTCGGCTCGACCGGGGAAGGGCCTCGCTCTCACGGAAAAACATAAAAATAGCAGTTTAACCCTGCTGTGTTTCGTATGGTGAGTGTAGAGAACCGGAGAACCTTTTTACTGGAAGCGAGGCATTACATCTTAGTCCTCACGGGTGACAACGCATCTACATTTTGATACGTAATCGAGAATAGATGTAGATGTGTATGGGCCGTAGCAACCACTTACCATCAGGTGGACTGTGTGCTCGTTTGTCACCCTTATTCTATTAAAAAAAACTTTCTGAGATTATAGTAAAATAATGTTAAGTATTGTAAGCATTCGTACAATTATGTCTCATGTTAATAAAGCTATTGGGCTATTTTGATTTGTAATAAAGTGATTTTACTTTATAGGTTAAATAATTTATTTACCTTTCTATATCAAGAACCGTTGTTTTCTGTCACTCCTATTGAATTTGACAGTGCTTGCTGAAATTTAGCATATTTAGATGGATCAGAATCGCGCGCTGATCCGGCTGTTAGGCTGTTAGATATTGCAAAAATTAATCGAAAATATTTATTTTTACTTTCATGCCGAAGACTACCTTGTTTTATTTTATTACGGTCAAATAATATTTATTAGGTTATAAAGCAAGTATTTTTGTAAATTGTGTTTGTTGTGTATTGAAATGTAAATGTTTTCATTATTTTGTTATTCTATTGCTTACAGTTATGATCACGTCTTAGCTTTACACCAAGAATTACATTAGAAATTCTTGATGGGATGCGATGTAACGCGCATACATTATTTTCATCAAGAACTATAATATATCTATATATTTGTTTTTTTTACCACTAGAGTTTCAACAAAATCTTAAAAAAGTTCAATGAATTAAAAAATGCCAATAATTATATAATTTCAAGTCAGTGTTTTACATTTAAAGATCAAAATATAAAGAGCCAAAAATAAAGAACAAAGTTATTATTTTCATTTTGATTAATTTAATTCGAGACTAAAATAAATGTGAAAGGGCTTTTATCTGCAATAATAATTTTCGTCAAAAATAACATAGACTTATAAAAGTCATATACAAGGTCAATCATACTGAAGATTATCAATTGTACTACAAAATATTTAAAAGACTATTTCCAGTATAATGACCCAAATATCATCATTAATCTTTGACTGGCACTCTTTAAAGTTTTATCACATGGCTAAATGATTAACTTTTATATTATGATAAGATCATGCTTTTCTATAAAAAGTTGCAAGAAATTTTAAATCACGGACCTATTGGTTTGTTTTACTTTTTACTTAATTAGTGAAAAACAAGATGGACTGATCTAAAAGTTTACTTTCTTATGTAAAAAGTGCTATTTAGAATTTTATACAAATGATAATTAAAGTTTCTATGTAAATAAGTGTAACATAGCGGGTATTATATTCAATGGTAGCGGCCATCGATATTTGCAAAGCCAGCATCATTTTCTGTGCAGAAACCGGCAAAGTATTGCTCAA